GGTGACACACCCACTCAATTGGTCAAAACCCACTCACTCAGGGAATTTGGTACTATTGACCTAAAACGTGCCTGAGTAAGTGGGTGGGACTAATTGCTTGCTACGATAAGTATAATCCTATCGTTAACGTGAAACACGAAGGCATACAACGTTGTACACCGTTAATCGTACCAACGGTGAATGCTACGTACTGTAGGGGAGGCAGTTTTTCACTAGTGGTGTTTTGGGGTTTTGCTCATGGATGTTCAGGTAGAGTTAGACATGGGGCTTCACTCGTGGTTAAATGGTGTGGTGGAGTTTTACTTACATGTTAGTGGGCATTACTGGATTGTTGCTTCATAGTCAAGCAGCCCAGTAAGTGTAATATCACTCCATCATAGCTAACGTAAAACAAGCAAACAAGCCGTGGGCCCTACCGTATGTTTGGGCGAAACGGCTCCCAAGAAAATGAAGGATGCTACTCCTCCGCCAAATCTTAGTATTATCTCAAACGGAATAGCCCACAGCATCCACCAGAGTATGCTGCATGCTGTGGGCTTAATCGCACATCAATACGTTGAATATTGTAGGAGGAGTAGCTTCCTTCATTTTGCACGGAAGCCAAAATCTTTCACATCGACGAAATGTCACCAAAAATGACATTCGATAATATTTTTATGACATCAAACAATAATAATACGTTCTGATAATCTCGGCGGGAATGTTTTTGAATTACTGAAATGCCACGAAAGGCACGATCGAAGGCATTGGGACGCCGAACGAAAGGTGTCAATAAATGTACCAACCCCACGCTAACATTGCAACGACGGAGCCGACAAGATGCCAAACCAAACATACGCGTACCAGTCCGTCCAACGACATCGCAATCCGCGGCTACATGTCAACGCCGTGTGGCTTGGGCCGTCTACTTCATGGATGAACTTGGATCCCCACCGAGCACAATGTGGCATGGCGCGAACGGGGCCATCAGTTGCGTCATGCGTCATTTTCGTCTACCACGAGGGAGGCGGCGCCATGTATTCAGAGTCCTTGTCCAAGTCTCCGAGTGTCTCAAAGGTGGGATCATGTACTCAGGTAAAACACGCAGTCATGGTGGTCAAAATAAGTGCATTCAACTTGGTTCTGTGGAGAATCAAATCATCGCGGATTGTATGGAACGAGGCCACGGACTGCGTGAATCAACGTTTGCAGTGAACCATCATCGTGTCAAATCCGAGTTACCGAGTGTGGGGCAGTCAGCTGTGTACACCGCTTACCAACGGTTGCGCCCCGTCGTCACGACCATTTCGCCAATCAAGCAAGGATATTCAGATGTTGGATCTGCATGGGCGATTGCGCGACTGGCGTGGACAAAGCAACTAGCCGTACGTCTAGGTATATGGAATTGGGACACTCACCTCCTCGGTCCATGTCCAGTCGAGTTCGACGGGGCTAGTTTGACGAAATTGTCGGTGAATCAAATTGTGTCGTGGGATGAAACCCACAAAAAGGTCAAAATTGGTGGTGGCGGATACAACTCCAAAAAGCAAGTTCGTTTTAAGCGCAACGACGATGGACTACTCGACGCCGCAGGCGTCTTGAACCAACCAAAGACGTATCTGAATACAAAATACAGCACTGAGGCCAGATTCTCCCTTGGATGTGCTGTGGTGTCGAACGGTCATGGGGTGAACATCGGTTTGCGGTGTGTGCCATTCGTGTATACTGGCCAGTGGATCTGCACAATATCAGAATACGACGGACTCCAACAACAAGAAATTCAACGAGTGAAACGACTTACTGGTGACTGCTCTGTTTGGGTTACCGGTTTGCGAGCAGCCAACTCCGGTACATACAATTTTATTACACAACTTCGAGACAAATACATAACACTAGTATTCGTTATCTACAGTAATTTCAACCAAATCTGAAATGTGTTAGACGTTTTTCACGGAGATTGTGTCTCGAAGCTGCGAGGAATTGGTGGCAACCTCAAGGACAAACTTTGGAGCCACGCTATTTTCACGGTTGGTGATTTGGCAAGTAAAAGCCAAACCGACTTGCTTGCGTTAGCATCAAAACTCAACGGGGTCAGTCCACGCGGTTTACTGGTATTACACGCTCGAGCACTCAAGGCTTTCCCTGGAACCTACACGGACCTGAAAATTGATCATCGACAGGCCACCAACCCCTACCAATCGCGATTCGGTGACGCCTGGCCAACTGAAATTGGCAAGTGCACGGCACTGGCTGGACATTGTTGTGTGACAACCCTAATTGAGCATATTGTGAGGGAGTCATCACGAGTGATGCACGGTACCCTTCACGAACACGACTGGGTATTCTGGCATGATGCCCTATCTCAAATGACTTGCCGGTCAACCCTCGAGTGGATGAAATCAAAGGATTACTTACGTCGGTGGGTCCTACCGGAACAAAACTTGAACGCCGGTACTGCTTTTTCTGGGCGGCCGGTCGGCAACAGCCCAGAGTTGATGTGCTGGGACTGCTCCCTTATCAAGGATGTGGACAATGCGTTTATACGTCACAAAGCGTGGACTATGCACTTACCTCGTGGATCGCCAACCAAGTTCTGCTCGTCAACGCCCAAGCGGTTGGAAGAGTCCTACCTGCGGTTAATGGACCCATGTCATGGTCATGACGCTGGTGTTCCTACAAGTGACCGCATCATCCACGACGCCGAGAAATGTTTCGGAGATCACCTGATGGCCGTGATCAATGCACAAGGAGCAGTTGTCCACGGCCTTGGAAACCGAAATGGCAAGCGTCGCGAGTCAGGGAACGGTGGCCATGGTGGAAAGCGGGAGAAGGCTTCGGACGTAGTCGGACACTGGCTGCACCCAGATGCTGAAGCAGGGCTTGTCGACCAACTTGGATTGGTGACTCGTGCAATCGAGTTATCAAAATGCACTGTCGATGTTGCAGTGGTGTAGAGTGTGTGTTGAATATTTTTATTGTTGCGTTGAATATTAATTTGGTCCATTTTAATTGAAAATGACATTTAAATCATGCTTGTTCCATAGAAAATGCCAAGTGCATTTTTATGAAAACTCCTCATCCATTACAGCTGAAATTTGGCGTTCATTCGTTTCGCCTTGATGTCAAGTATTTCCCAAATTTTCAACAAATTTGGAGTAGTATTGAGAAAGTTACGAAAATTCGGGAGCCTTTTCGCCCAAACGTACGGTAGTGGGTGGCAATGCCACCCACTCACTCGGGGAGTTGGTCTCTGCAGCTACATCGTCGTGACCCTCGTATATCCCGCGCAGTGACTTGCATTGCTCGCGTCTGAATGCTCAGAGCTCTTTTTACCAGCGTGGACATCCATCCATACCGGTACTAGTACAGACTGTAGAGCCAACCCAAAACTCTAGTATGTAGTACTACCGGTAGTATCTTCTACTAAAGTAATAACGAAGTATTTTCTGGTGCAAAGGTACAACAAACATGGTACAGTAGTAGTATCTTCTAACGAAGTATTTTCCGGGAGTTAAATATGGAGTATTTTCCGGGAGTTAAATATGGAGTTTACGATTCAGCATCCACGACCCAAAACCGAATAATTCCCTCATTAAACGGTTCCACTGTTGTTTTTGGCCCGAAATACTGTTTCACACTGTCAATGAGGGAATTATTTCATCCGGATACACCTTTTCTCCAGTAGCCCTGTAACCTGGGACTCCGTCCTACCCCCGGTGAGTACATACGATGCTTAACCCCTAGTAAGAGGTGAGGTGGCCTGAGCATACAAAGTTCCTTAAATCTCGTTGAAACAGTATTTCGGGTCAAAACAACAGTGGGACAGTTTTAATGAGGGAATTGTACTCTCCTTGACGATAGACAGCGAAATCGAAATCCTGCATGAACAGGCGCATTGTCTCTATCACGTGTTCACTCAGGTGTTGTATACTGTATTGACTGTGAGCCATTATACTTGGCGTACCGCATTTTGGCAAACTACGTTCTATCCAAACAGGAGCCTGATGTATGTACTATGTACACGTATCAGTCTCGGTTGGTGATCATACTCGCTACTGTACTACTAGTACATGACATGGATCTTGCCTTTGACCTTTTAAAGTAATTGTACAAATTATTGTGGATTCGGTACAAATTTCCAGACCCCGTCGAATCGAATCTCGCCGCCGAATCGAATCACGCATCGACGCTATTAGCTAATCCAATTTTGAGTGGATTTGATTGGCTCTTACAGAAAGGTCAAGTATATTCAACCAATTTAGACAAACCACGCGAATTTTGGGGTTGTTCACAGTCAAACACCCCGAAGATACCAGTGTGATACTAGTACTACAGTACCAGTATAGTACAGTACTAGTATTGTACTAATAACGTTACTACGACGTACTACTTCGAAGTAGTAGTTTTAATAGTACAGTACAGTACTCTATCCATACTAGTACAT